ACTATGCCCTCTTGTTGTGGTAGTTTTTCTTCTTTTAAACATAGTCTCTTCCTTTACTGTGTTGATTCCCTTTATGTATATAAATGTTTCTATCATATCCCCCCTGTCTCGTCTTTCCTCCAAGCTATACATGTTAAGATCCTTTAACCTTTCCTGGTAAGTTTTATCCCGCAATCCATGAACCAGTTTAGTAGCCCTTCTCTGAACCCTCTCTAAGGTATCAATATCCTTCTGAAGATACGGTCTCCAGTACTGTGTACAATACTCCAAGTGAGGTCTCACCAGTGTTCTGTACAATGGCATGAGCACTTCCCTCTTTCTACTGCTAATACCTCTCCCTATACAACCAAGCATTCTGCTAGCATTTCCTGCTGCTCTATTACATTGTCTGCCTACCTTTAAGTCATCAGAAATAATCACCCCTAAATCCCTTTCCTCAGATGTTGAGGTTAGGACTCTATCAAATATTCTGTACTCTGCCCTTGGTTTTTTACATCTAAGATGCGTTATCTTGCACTTATCCACATTAAATGTCAGTTGCCACAATTCTGACCATTTTTCTAGTTTACCTAAATCATTTGGCTTATCCCTCCGGGAACATCAACCCTGTTACATATCTTAGTATCATCAGCAAAAAGACATACCTTACCATCCAGACCTTCTGCAATATCACTAATAAAAATATTAAAGAAAATGGGTCCAAGTACAGATCCCTGAGGTACCCCACTGGTGACAAGTCCAAGCTTCGAATATATTCCATTAACTACAACCCTCTGTTGCCTGTCACTCAACCACTGCCTTAACCATTCAAGGGTATACCAGACACTATGCCGAGGGTAGTAATAAGACAAAGGATGATAACGGGTTTCTAGTGTTTGTAAAGCTACCGTCTGAAGTTCAGGAACCTAAGAAAGTAAAGTTCACATGCTTACTAAATTACCACATATAATTTAGCCAATAGCATAATTCTAACAATCAAATTTCCAACCAACCTAGAAAGCAAATATAATTTGACACAGTTGTCAGTAATCATAATGTGTTAGAAATCCCATAAGCATGAACTCCCTGACCTGTGGGGGGAAAAAAGGTCAGGAATATCCGCTTATAAAATCCAGACTTCCATCACCTATACTTTAACCCAGTGTTTCCCTACCCAGTCCTCAAGGCACACCTACCAGTCCAGGATTTAGGGATTACCCAGTTGTGTCTAAGGTGTTTTTACAAAGAAGAAAAAAAACACCTTAGAGACAACTGGGTAATCCCTAAATCCTGGACTGGTAGGTGTGCCTTGAGGACTGGGTAATATAATTTACCAGTAGGGGCAAAAAGTTATATTGGCTAATTAGGTAAGATTCGTGCATTTTGCTGTGTGTCTGGCTGCAACTACCGAAAGACAAAGCGGGATATGTGTGTAAAACCTAAATAATATGAATGAAATACTTTCCTTAAAGGGACACTCCAGGCACCCAGATCACTTCTGCCCATTGGAGGGTTCTGGGTGCCAAGTCCCATTACCCTTAACCCTGCAACTGTAAATATTGCAGTTTTCATAAACTGCAATATTTACATTGCAGGGTTAACTCCTCCACTGGTGGCTGTCTAGAGGGCACTTCCTGGTCTAGAGGACCTCCAGCGTCGCTAAAATCCCCATAGAAAAGCACTGAAAGCATTTTCAGTGCTTTCCTATGCGGAGGTCTAATGCGCATTAGGTCTCATCCCGCCGGCGGCCGCGCATGTGCAGTCAGTCTCCACCATCTGGTAAGTCACTGAAGTGGTTTTCACCCCTTCAGCAACATGGGATGGGGGGGTGGGAGGGAGAGGGGACCTGCAGTGCCAGGAAAACAATTTGTGGCACTTGAGTGTCCCTTTAAGTGCTGCCTGTATCACTATGAAAGTACCGAATGCTTATACAGTTATATGTGAACGAACGGTCGCGTTTGTATGAATTGGTTATGGGAAACATGCGTACATGTAAAAATGCATACGAAAATTAGCTGAACAGCTTATACTGATTGTATAAGCCGAACGCATGGTTCAAACGAACTTAGCCCCTGCCGTGAAAGCGAGCAAGGTTTGCGGCCGTTGCTTTACGGTAGGGGTCAGACTTACGGTTTTAACCCAATGTTAGTGCGCGGATGCCAGCGACGGTTGGGGAGCACCGGACCAGGAGACTCCATACAGGTAAAATCCAAAATGGCAGTATATTAACCGAAAGTAATTGTTTCAGACTCGTCAGACCAGTAAGGTGAAAGAGGATTGGCAGACCTTCTATAGGGGACCCAAGCCCTCCCACAACTACAGGCTCTCAAAATACACTTAGGATGAAATAAAATATCTCTATATAAATATATGTAAAGAAAAATTATTTAAAAAAAAATACCTAGAATTACATAAATTACATCAATATACTTGTAAAATGTAACTAGAGATATATATGTACGTGTATATTTAGGTAATCTTTTTATATAATTATGTGGTTTTAATAATTATAGAATAGAAAGTCCAGAGAATTTACAAGCTCTATATTTAACCTGTAACTTTACAATACACCATAAAACCTGTACATAGGGGGTACTTTTTAACTCTGGAGACTTCACTGAACACAAAAATGTATGGGTGATATCATCAGTGAAAGTGCAGTTTGTGTGTGAAACATGCAAAAACCTTGGCCAGGGTTTTGCATCTCATTACTGGGCTGCCATATGGTTTCATAGGCAACATAACTAATCTGTCAAATTCAATGTGTAGATGGGCAAGCCATAACTTTCCAAAACACTGTAAAACTTGCACATGAGGGGTGCTGTTGTAATCGTGAGACCTCACTGAATACAAATGAGTGTTTTAGAGCAGTTAAACATATAATGCTGATGATTTCATCAGTGAAAGGGCAGTTTCTTTTGTAAATAATGCAAAAAAAAAAATATGAACGCTAACTTTGGTCAGTGTTTGTGACTACTAAAAAATGACTGGACATATACCTCATTTAGAATACCCTGGGTTGTCTACTTTTGCAAATGGTATTCCATGATGGGAGTAATTCACATTCCTGGGTGCCATATGGTCTCATCGGCAACATAACCAATCTGACAAATTTCAATGTATAAACCTAAAATGTACCAGCCCTATATTTGACCATGTAACTTTCCAAACCATCTAAAACCTGTACATCTGAAGTATTATTGTACTCATAAGACCTCACTAAACACATATGGGTTTTATTGCAGTAAAAGTTGTTACAAGTGTTATGACATTCACAGTTAAAATGCCACACAAAAAATAACAAAAGTTCTTAATTTCTCTAACCTTTTTAGATCTTATTCATATTGAGTTACGTTTCACATATAAATATTTGATGTGACATAAAATCCCTTTCTCCTGAACAAAATTATATGTGTTGGTGCATTTAATATGAAAGAGGAGCATTACCGTTCAACAGAATTATAGAGCAAATTGAAGGTTTTATGATCAGAACTTGTACAATTGCCTCTGTCATTAAGCTTGCAACTGGGGTCATTCTGTAAGCAAAAAATATAGCTGAGCATAATTTAGTGATTTTGTTTACAGAGGTATATATCAAGTAAAACGCTAAATCGCATTATATATACAAAAAAAACTAAAATGAAATTATACAATAAAATTTGAAATAAATTGGTGCTAAAATGGCTGTATGTTACGGCACAAAATATACCATATGGTATCTACTTTCACAAAGGTACAAATTTGTGTACATTTTAACTGTCAATCTGCTGCAATGCCCCATCAAATTAAAATGATTCTATAGTGGGTCCCTTTACTTCCCCTAGATGTTTAAACGGCAATTGGATAAATACTTCCAAAAACATAACATACAAGAAGGAATTTTTTTTCCTAGTTTGTTGCAAAATTGGAAGCGCACCATCTTCTATTGGCACCGCCTCCTCCGACGAACGCTGCAAGCGCATTAGGACCTCCCCATAGGAAAGCATCAGATAATTTTTATTTTTTTGAAAATGTGTTTTCTAAAAGGGACACTATAGTCCAGGGGTAGGCAACCTTTTAGCAGCACTGTGCCGATATAGGATTGTGATGTCCCGTAGCGTGCGGTCCTATTTTTTTTTAAATTTAGGTGTGTATGCTGCCATATTCTGCTTGTTATTTTTACTGTAATTGCTTTGTATCGTTGTATATGTGCGTATATGCAGGGCCGTCTTTAATATTGACTGGACCCTGGGCAAAGAATTTGCTTGGGGCCCCCTGGACCCTGTCCCCGCTCCATAGGCGTGAAATCACGTCCTCCACCCCAACGCTGACACACACAGACATGCTGACACATACACAGACATACTGACACACACTCACACACAGACATACTGACACACTCACACACAGACATACTGACACATACAGATATGCTGACACACACACACAAGCATACGAACACACACCAAATTTACACTTTAAAACCCACCCTCCAGTTTCCTACCTTTCCTGCTGGTGGCTGAAGGTGTTGGGGAGGTGGGGTCTGGCTCTCTCGGCCGACCAGCCCCCCTCCACTCTGCCTACTCTTCTTTCCCGCGCGCTCCTCTCTTTGTGGGAGGAAGTGATGCACGGCCGTCCCTTCCTCCCAGCCTGCTGCCGAAAAGCATGGGTCCCGCTCGCGCTGTTAAAGCTCCTCAGCGCGCGACCAGACCCCTGCTGACAGAAGCCCACCGGGTGGCCATTTGTGCATGGGCCAGCCGGTGGGCCTCCTTGGTGTGCGGGTTACCGGCCGGGGGTGAGAAATAGTTACTAAGTGGCTACTAAAAAAGACTGGACATACCCCATTTGCAATACCTTGGTTTGTCTACTATTGCATATGGTATGCCATCATGGGGGTAATTTTCATTCCTGGGCTACTGTACGGTCTCAAAGGCAACATAACCAACCTGGCAAATTTCGATGTGAAAAAAACTGAAACGCAAGTCTTATATTTGACTCTGTAACTTTTGAAAACCCCATAAAAGCTGTACATGAGGGGTACTGTTCTACTCGGGAGACTTTGCACACAAATATTAGTGTTTCAAAACAGTAAAACGGATCACAACAATTATATGGTCCGTGTAAGTGCCATTTGTGTGTAAAAAATGCTAAAAATGTCATTCACTGACAATATCGTAGTCGTAATACATTTTACTGTTTTGAAACTATAATATTTGTGTTCAGTGAAGTCTTCCAAGTAGAACAGTACCCCACATGTACATGTTTTATGGTCTCTTGGAAAGTTACAGTTAAATATAGTGCTAGCAAAGTAAATTCCCTGGACTTTTGGCCTGGGTTGTCAGGCAGGTCCCGCAAATTGTAATTAATAAAATTACCTAATTATGTAAAATTATTACATAAATATATGTAGAATTATTATTTAGGTGTCTGTGTGTATATATAATATATAGTTTTTTAAAATCATTTTTATTTATAGGTGTGTGTGTGTGTGTGTGTGTGTGTATGTATGTATATATATATATATATATATATATATATATATATATATATATATATATATATATATATATATATATTTCGTTCTACATGTATTTTGATATCAATATATATATTCATTTTAAAATACAGTTAGAACGAATTTACACACTTTTTAAATTTAAATTTTAACACATTTATTTATATATATATATATAATGAAAATTATATATATTTAATCAATATTGTACGTGTATTTTGATATTAATATATATTTATAAAAAATACACTTAGACAGTGTATATGTGTGTATGTATATATATATATATATATATACTTAGATCATATATAATAAGTATATATTTTATTTTAAACTGTATCATTAACTTTTTTATTTTATCTTTTTCAGGCAGCAGGGGACTACCCCCTGCTGGCATTGCTATGGACGGCTATGCCGTCCATGTGATCGTGAGGTCCTTGCAAGGACCTTGCGATCACATAGCCCAGGGAGATCGCCGGCGACCAGGTAAGTACATAGGATGGCTTATGCAGCCCGCCGGCGTTTAGAGCCGGGTCTCCAAGGACGGCATAGAATGTCCACCGTCCTTAAAGGGTTAAATGGCAGCAAATTCAGCAAAACTGCTTCATTAAGCTAAAGATGTTTTGGTGACTATAGTGTCAATTTAATGTGAAAAAATGTGAAAAATTTTTTTTATTTTTTTTTAATTTTTTTTAAAGTTTATATATGTATATGTCACATCAGGTTAAAGCACATTTTCTCCTATTAAAAACGGTATATAACGTGTTTGTGCTATAAATGAGGATTCAAATTGTGATTGGGATTCTTGAGTGAGCGCATTAGGTCCTCCCGATAGGAAACCATTGGGATTCTTGAGTGAGCGCATTAGGTCCTCCCGATAGGAAACCATTGCTTTAATGCTTTACTATGGGGATTTTATTGACTCTAGATGTCCTCATGCAGAGAACCAAAAGTTCCCTTGCCTTGAGGAAGTGCCTCTGATTGACAGCCACTAGAGGCAGTCTTAGTCCTGCAGTGTAAATCACTGCAGTTTCTCTAAAACTACAATACAGATGGAGAAAATGTTTTTGTGTGCACATTTGAAGCATGTGCATATGCTTGTGACTTGTCTCTGGTGTCCCCAATAGTGGAATACCAGATAGCAAAAGTAGAAAAGAGCTGGGTTGTGCATGTGTGGGGATGTTCTGAGGTGTTGTAAGTGTTTGGAGGTTGTTTGAGGGGTTGCATGTGTGTAGATGAGACTGTTTGTTTTGTACTGTGTAAAGAGGTCTGTTTGAAGTGTACTATGTGTGGGTTTCTGGGCTGTAAAAGTATGTGTATATCCATGTTTATAGGTGTGTGTGTGTGTGTGTGTGTATGTATATGTATGTATGTATGTATGTATGTATGTATGTATGTATGTATATGTATATATATATATATATATATATATATATATATATATACTTGTAGAGTGTGTGGGCATCTAGTGGTTGCATTATGTGTGTGTATATGGGTTGTAATGTGTGCATGGGGTGTAGTGTGTATAGTGGTACAGTGTGAACAGGTGTAGTATGCGTATATGGGTATAATGTGTGTATTTATAGAGGATATCATGAGCATGTGAGTGTGTGTGTGTGTGTATGTATGTATATTTAGAGTATAGTGTGTGAAAGTGCAAGTTTATGTGGTCTGTACCTCCGCAGGGAATTGACCATATCTTTCCCTCTCGCGAGCATCAGTATTTCAGAACATTGACGCGGGTTACCATGGCAATGCTCTGACAATATCGGAGCTCGCAGGAGGAGAGACGGGCTGGGAGGCACTTTCCCATGGTGAATTTATCTTCACTCCTTTGATTTTTCCCTCATCACATGGCCATTGCGGCCCACTAAGCACTTACCCTGTGGCTAATTCAAGCCTGCTGTCGAGCAATTATTTTACTTTTTGTTTGGATTTTGCGGTTATGCTACAATAAAAGGGGAAAAAAATGCAAATTTTTACCAAGGGTTACCAATCAACCAACCCAGTCCTCAAGTATGCCCTACCAGTCCAGGATTTAGGTATTGCCCTCTTGTGTCTAAAGTGTTGTTTTTTTTTTTTCTTTTCTAAAAACCCCTTAGACCAACGGTTCCCAAACTGTGTGCTTCTAAATTTTTCCATGGTGCTATATATGATCATAGCACCAGGAACCGTGCCTCAGTCTCCCCTGCCGCTCTGCAGGACCAGAAATCAGAGATCTCCCTCCACGACCCGCTAGCACTGTAATGCCGGCAGTCTGCAGGAGAGGGAGAGAGGACCAGAGGGAGCTCTAACCTGCAGCTCCATTGGGTTCTCCTCTTGAGAGCTCATGGTTACCATGGCAATGATCTGAATCTCGCGCAAGTAGACTCTAGCTTTAGGAGCTGCTAGAGTTCACTCTCGCCACTGGGACCACCAGGGCTTCTCCACTGGACCACCAGGGATTATTACTGTCCCCCCTCCCAGGCAAAGGTCAGAAGGGGGGGGGGGAATATGAAAATGTTATTTATATTATATAATTTTTTTTTTTTTTATAAAAGTTTATATTTATTAATGCCCCTTCATACATACACATACTGTACATTTCACGTACACACTGAACCCTTCAAACACTCACAATGCACCGCTCACACACACACACTACATCCTTCACAAACACAATGCAACTCCGTACACATTGCACCGCTCACACAAACGCCTAACACCCCACATACACACACATTGCACGCCTCAAGCACACACAATACTGCACCGATCCCCTACTACAGACCCTATCCAAGCAGACCCCAGGTAAGTTGTCAAACTGTTCTTAAACAATATGACTACTTACCCTGGGAGGGCACCACTTCACTCCTGGCACCATAATCACTACATAGTGCTGTGGTGGTTATTTTGGCTGCATTGTTTCTTTATGTAATCTACCATTGCCCCTCCCAAAATTAGGTTCTGGATTCGCCCTTGACAGGGAAACATTTCTACTGAACAGAGGCCCAGTATATGCCACAGCGCTGTACATTTATTAAACCTAGACTTTTTTTTTTTTTACTTGGGGCGACTTGGAAAAATATTGAAATATAAAAAGTTTGTGAACCACTGCCTTAGACACAATTGGGTAATCCCTAAATCTTGAACTGTTGGGGGCTACTTGAGGAGTGGGTTGGTAACCACTGTACTAGATTCAAGACTGGCAGGGTATTGTCAGTACTATTTATACTAACCTTAAAATGTTTTTTTTCCAGTCTTTTCTGTGAGGTGAGAAGCTATTTAATATTTATTGCTGTTAAGCAATAAAAGCATTGTCTGTTACCTTTTGATTATGCGGAGGGAAAATGCATATTATGACTAAAAATTTTGTTCACCATTTTATTTTTTAGCTGCCTCTTGGACGCCAGTGTGTGGACCATTATCGAGCCTTAAACCGATACTGTGTGTTTTCTCACGATGAAATGATCTGTAAGATAGCTTCCAAGGCTGAACACCTGGATGTGATACTTGCATCATCTGTTCAAAAGGATCTGGCTGTGATTATTGAGCAGGAGAGGCTCCTTCGGGAGGCTGCCAGAAAAATGGTCAGAATATTATGGGTTTTTATAAATAAAATAGTAATATGGATTATTAATGAAATAGTAATATTAAAGATATTTGTAAAACCAAAACAACTTTTTGGTTTAATAACGCAGTTTTGGTGTATACATAATGCCCCTGCAGTCTCACTTGTAATTTTCCTGCCATTTAGAGCCCCTCTCACAATCACCATGGAAAAAAGTTTCATTTTCAAGCCAGTTATACAGCACAGTGTGTTCTAATTCAGAAATTGTATTTCTTGCTCTGGTAATTGAACTTTAATCATACACAGGAAGCCGCTGTAGATGTGAACAGGCAGTTAAGATAGGAAATATTTTTTATTTTTTTTTGGTGGCTCACATTTGTTCTTTTGTACTAATCCAATCCCCTTTTTTATGATTTAACTTTTTTTTTTTTTTTAAATGTATTTATTGTGAAAATGTATAAAATACATATCAAGAATGACATTTCCATTTGGTATGACAATATAAGGTAGCAGTACAGTTATATTTTAAAAACACTGTGCAATAAGCAGACATCTCAACTTGGACAAATGCATTTCAGGGAGGTGGCTCTAAACCATCTACAGTGCTTCCCCCCCCCCCACCCGTCGCGTGAGCACGCACACACCCCCCACAACACAGACACACACCGCTTGCAAACATGTATGAACACCTTGACCCACAGATGCACACACAGATACACACAGTTGCGCGCGCACACACTCACTCAGATACACATTCACACATTGAAACACACACGGACACTGACATACAAATACACACACTGGCAGATGCACACTGGCACATACGTTCAGATCACACACTGGCACACATACTTTATATATTTTTAGCCACCCTCATGTTACCTTACTTTTGTGTCCTGTAGCTCTGGCTGAGGCTGATGGGACTGAGCAGTAGCTCTCTCCAGCCTCTCATCTGCCCCTTGCTGATTGTACAGCTGTTGCCTCCTCCCTCTAGTCCTCCTGTGCGGTTCTCATCACTTCCTCCCTGCCGGCTGATACTATGGTTGGCTCTTTAAGTGCCGGCACTCCACCGAATCTGCTTAGTGAGTATTTGGAAGGGGGGCACAAATGTATAATATCCCGAAAAACCAACACACAGTCTGATAAACATTGTATGTCAGATTGCGTGTGTGTGATTT